TTATTTAATTAATTTACTAATTTGTGTAGAAAAATATAATATAATTTAATTAATTCAATATAAAAAATAAAAAAATTATTTAGTTTCGAGTCTTATTTGGTTCTTCGGTTCTTGATCTAGAACCGAGACCCGATCCAAATCCATCGGTTCTCGATTCAGATACCCGTTCGGATATTTAATTTATGAAGAACCGCTCGATTCAGTTCGATTTGATTCGAAACTTTTAGACATCCCTACGAGTATTGTCATTTTTAAGTTGCAAGAATGTGCAAGAAACTTTTGAGAGTGAAATTTGGAGCTTTCTTTTTATGCCACTTTCTTTCACTGTGCTATAAATTATAGAAGTGATTTCTACTATTTTTTCTTCTATTTGGATGTTGATGAGGGCTCAAATGTCGAGAAAGGGAAACTCAGAATATTATGAAAGAGTTGAATTTTATGAAAATGTGAAGGGTTGGAAGTTCTAAAAGCGAAGAATACTGTTGGGTCCGATTTCCAGAACGACATTTTTCATTTTCTTGGCAGGATTTTTCAATTTGTAACCCTTTTTGGGTGCACGTGTCGAATTTCCCCCACACAATTTTTTTTTTTTTAAAATTAAAAACTAACTTTATGGTTTTCCTAAAAAATCTTCGAATGAAGAGCAGTTGGTTTATTCCTACGTGCAAATGACATTATTTTCTTGACCCATCGTGTTAATGTTGAAATAAATAAATTTAAAGTAGCGAAGTTCTTGCACTGTTCTAAACAACATAATTAATTACGGTCGATTCAATCCTATATACGATGAAACAAAGTCACATTGTGAACTTTAATATCATCCAATTATTCAACCAATTTTTTTGTCTCCATCACAACCTTGCATCTGCCTCTTCAATTTCTATGAAAAGCCCCTTAAATACCCTCTCTCTAGAGTGGTACTAGTACGAAATACGTGCTCCCTTGTTCTACCTATTTTAATAAAAGCTAGGGTTGGATATTTCATATTTTTGTCCCTTTAAACGCCAAAATATTTACAAAATAATGTACATTTTATGAATTTTTTGCCAAAGTACAAAAGAACTCAATCGAATTGAATCAGACACGTCAAATCGTATAATCGTAGAATTTCGATTAGCAGATAATTTGATCAGGCTCTCGTCAAATGAAATTGACTAGCGTGTCTAATCATAATAGAAGTCTTTAATCAATGTTTCACCCCCTTTAAACTCCAAACATTTACACAAAAATGTACACTCTATACGATTTTCTGCTTGGAAAATTCTATTTGTACATAATTTTTTATCTAATATTTTACCGAATTGACAAATGACGGCTCCCTATTGGGGGGCGCCTAGGCCCACGGGCGCCCCCCCAATAGAGGGCCTCCACTTGTCAATTCGATCAAACATTAGGTAAAAAATTAGGTACGCATATCATAACTCTTTTTGCTTTAAGTATTAAAGAACTCGATCTAATTGCTAATTATAGTCTAGTTCAATTCTATCACTCCACATCAAATTATATGATCAAATGCGTAAAATTTCCATTGGTACATAGTTTGATCAGCTCTCGTCAAATAGAATTGATCACTAGTGTCTAGTGTTATCCAATACTAATATTGCCTAGTAAATTATATGATCAAAAGTCTCGTCTAATTATTATACGATTTAATTGTCTAGAATTTATTTGTATGAAAATTATTAATTAAATGTGTTTAATTGATTTAGTTTTAAATCTGAAAAATATTACACTCGTTCATTTTTTATTGGTGGATAGATAGAGAGTAAATTATCCGAAAAATAAAAATAACCACTTCCTAAATAAAATGTTTTCCTTGTTTTTGAAAAAAAAAATAGTCAGATGATCAAAAGTCGAAAAATATTTTTCACTCTAAAGTAAGAATTTGGATGAAAAAATAACATTTTCTATGA